TGATGTCAAACGAACATGCATCCTCATTCATCCTGATTTTTTTGGTGAAATCTACGTCTTTTTGTCTCAAAACTGCGCGTTGTGGTTTTTCTTTTATGTATTGCGTTATGACGTTTTGCGAAAAATCTGTCCGCGATGGAGAAAAATGGATATCATTTTCGGATTCAGCATACAGGAATTACTGAAGAAAATGTAAAAATTTCAAGACAGTAAAACCATCGCAGGCCTGTGTAATCATTAGTATATTTAAAAATAGCTGGTATTTCCATATACCAAACAGTGTGTTAGAATTAGGATATTTTTAGGTTAAGTATTCAGTTTATGGTGGTGTTCTGTGTGTAATATACGAAATATATATTAACACTCTTAGTTACAACATCTGTCTGTTTACTTGAAAAAATATGAATATGTTTAAAGTAAAATGCTACGACACCGCACCCTACTGGGCAAGCTAAATATACTTTGTATTTATTAAGAAGTATTATTAGCTTAGAGTGTTAAAGTTTACGACGAAATATGAAGATTACAATACTATTGTTAACATGTAACAGGATAATATTATGTTTATTTGGTATATATATATATTTGAAAATATTTAGAATAAGATGCTACGACATTGCATTCTGTTGTGTAAACTAAAGACACTTTATATTATTTCTGTCCGTAACATGAAAAAAGAATTAGTTTAGACTTTAGAGCGTTAAAGTTTATAACAAAATATGTTGGTTAATATTGTTAACATGTAGAATATTCATCTTTAAACATTGATATATCATTAAGATTCATTTGTTTTCTACACTGTACTTTTAAATGATACATTCAAAGATAAAAAAGGATGTTATGTTATATACTTACTTTTTTAAAGAGTTAGCTTAGATGTGTGAAGCTGGTGAGTGAAAGTTAATCGATAAACACACAGAATTAGTCTATTATGTGTAAAGTTGGTGAGTGAAAGTTAATCGATAAACACGCAGAATTAGTCTATTATGTGTAAAGTTGATGAGTGAAAGTTAATCGATAAACACGCAGAATTAGTCTATTATGTGTAAAGTCGATGAGTGAAAGTTAATCGATAAACACACAGAATTAGTCTATTATGTGTGAAGTTGATGAGTGAAAGTTAATCGATAAACACAGAATTAGTCTATTATGTGTAAAGTTGGTGAGTGAAAGTTAATCGATAAACACACAGAATTAGTCTATTATGTGTAAAGTTGGTGAGTGAAAGTTAATCGATAAACACACAGAATTAGTCTATTATGTGTGAAGTTGATGAGTGAAAGTTAATCGATAAGCACACAGAATTAGTCTATTATGTGTGAAGTTGATGAGTGAAAGTTAATCGATAAACACACAGAATTAGTCTATTATGTGTGAAGTTGATGAGTGAAAGTTAATCGATAAACACACAGAATTAGTCTATTATGTGTAAAGTTGATGAGTGAAAGTTAATCGATAAACACACAGAATTAGTCTGTTATGTGTAAAGTTGGTGAGTGAAAGTTAATCGATAAACACACAAAATTAGTCTATTATGTGTAAAGTTGATGAGTGAAAGTTAATGGATAAACACAGAATTAGTCTATTATGTGTAAAGCTGATGAGTGAAAGTTAATGGATAAACACACAGAATTAGTCTATTATGTGTGAAGTTGATGAGCGAAAGTTAATCGATAAACACACAGAATTAGTCTATTATGTGTGAAGTTGATGAGCGAAAGTTAATCGATAAACACACAGAATTAGTCTATCTTGCTCTGCCGTATTAAACTCAACGCTTAACTGTAATTCGTGACGTTTGAACAAACAGAAGCGTGATGCCAAAACCAGGCAAAATGGAAGAAGAAAGTGATATCTTCTATTAGCGTCCTTATCCTTTTAACAGTATCTGCTATTGTGTTTATGGGGAGGCACTTGAGATGCCTTGTATAAACACAAAAGTGCACGGTTACACAGAACCAAAGTGTTGTCATAATATTTTAATATCTGATGATTACGCCCAGTTATGAGAAGTGGATTGTAGCACGTGACTAGAAGTGTGTAATAAGATCAAGCGTTATTATAAACAGGTACATCTTTTAAGTTTAGTATTGGAATTTAACACTCCAAGTTAAAGAGAACTGGGAAGAGGAATAAATTGTTTGCTACGGAGTTTTTCCGTCTGTACGTGCACTAATATTTTTGTTAATTAATACCAGAATAATCTGGAATGTACGCCGTAATTATGCATAAAATTAACGGATTTATGTGTTATTGTTTTTTTTGAATAACATTTTAGTAACACCTTATTTTATGTATTTGTAAGGTGTTTTTCGTGAAGAGCCTCTAGCTGAAACGTCGGAACAAAAACAAAAATATCCAAATTTTTTTTTCTTGGAGTTGTGGTTTTCAAAGTAGTAATGTAGCTTTACATCTGATAGGAAGCTACTTAATTATTTTGTGTATATGTGCTCTTCGGTTAATTTCCCAGTTTGAACAGAATTTTTGCTTGTTTTTTTATAAATTAGATTAATCTTGTAGATAGGTTTCATGCTGTCGATATTCATATTTGATTTTACACATTAAATGGGAACAAACGTACGTTTTATTCACACTCTACCTAAAGAAAGATGTATCAAATGATTGAACATAAACTGCCCTTGAAGGTTTCTAACAGTGTTTATTTTTAAAAACTTTATAAAGTATTTTATTATAATATTTGGCAACAAGAATGATTAAAAACTACAAAACACGTGTCTGTACCAGAGATACAAAAAGTCAACGAATAACAACGTTTCGCATTGAAGCGAATAGTTATAAGACGCCTTAATTGTGGGTAAAAACATAGGAAGTAATAGAATGTAGAATGGTAAAGTACAAAAACAAACAACCATGTCTTTGTTATGTCTTCATTGAATGATCAGCAGAAGATCTGGTACATCTATTTATTTGTGCGAATTAGAGATGAGTTCTCTTGTATGTGTTTAAAAGACAAGTATTTTGGTGACCGCCCAGTATTCCGAAGTATTCAAAAATGAATGAATAAATAAATTCGTAGGTCCATAATAGATGAATGCAGCCTCAAATGAAAAGGTTAAAAGGTAGTTCAGGGGACCAGCCGCCCCTGATGGCTTGCTCTTGTTTTAAACACAAACAACAGAAATATTTGAATCGACATTGTATTGTATAGCTCATTGCACTGGCTCGACGTCCAGATAATTTTACTGACTGGAAACATGTGTAATGAGTCGGGGATATAACATTCATTGTCACAGAACTGTGGAATAAGACTCTTGAATGTCGATTCTCCCAGAAGGGCTAGATTCCCAACTCCAATCCTAATATTTTAACTGTTAAAAAAACAACTTACATCTTCAGATCGGGTCTTTGGAGTAATGAGCACTAACGGGCCGTCACCAATATTTTGGTGTTACTCACCAACAGTTAGAGGGTTTGAGGAAACTACATTGATGTTTTAGGTTTTTATAATAAGTGCTTCGTTTTTTTTTTCCCTAGGCCGATTTGTGTGGAATAAAATGGCGCCGTCTATGTGCTGACAGTATTTTATGTGTGGACCCACTGGACGACCCTGTGTTATCTTCTTACAGTAAATGTCTAGCCGCTGGCATTCTGTGTGTTTGGCGGCGTGTAGCCTCGCGACCTGGCCCTGACTCTCATCGCCCAGCGGACACAAATCAATTGAGTTATAACAAAGAATTGTGGATATTTTGGTACGGGGAAGAACCCGATTTGTCTGGACTAGTGTCGGGTCTAACAGGTATTCTTAGAAAGTTTTTTTTTATGTATCCATATAGAAATACGAGTATATATATAGTGAGTTGTCAGATGCTAACTATTAAAATGTATGACTGTTGCTCTAGATAAGTTTTTTTAATATAGACACCAGTATAAAGTTATTAATCATTTCAAGCTGAAACAAATAAAGTTAAATAGACTTTAAGATGAACTGCGACTCCTCGAGCCACCTGTATACTAATTATCGGTTATATACCCATGTATGATCTGTATTTAGTCGATTTTTGAATTCCACTCATAACTGTTTACAAAACGACAAAAGTTTTGTATGTAAGCATTTGTCTCTACATAATATAAACGAAGACAAAACATTTCGGAAGAGTCGTGAGGGCGCCCCAGAAATGGAGGATCAATGATATTTTTTTTTTTGGGGGGTCTTTGGTTTGACTGATCTAATTTATTGGAAAGTTATTCAGATGTAAGACGTTGTTCGAAATGATAATATAAAGTCGGATATTGTAGTTTTCAGATTTGAGCCCCCATGTATGAGTCAAGGGAGTTTTGAGGATAGGATCCGCGGATTTACATGAAAATTAGCAGGAACGTGTAATGGGATCTTTCAAAATAAACATGCATGCATAGTTTAAAAAAAATCAGAGCTTTCAGAAATGGCATTGTGGAGTTTCATGAAAAATTTTACGAACATGTTAATGGTAGTTTAAAACAAGAATCTACTTTTAGGTTTTAGAAGCATTCAGTTTCGCCTACTATTTGAGAATAAAGGGGGATTTGGGGGCTTTCAGGATTTGCTGAACGTATTTACTTGAAAGTGACAAGAACATTTAAATTATGGTTCAAAGGAAAGGTGTGTGTGTGTGTTGGTTTTTTTGGGGGGGGGGGTAAGTTACAAGTGTGTATTACACATATTATTCTCTAAAATATAAAATGTGATTCACATTGTTTTTTATGTGAATAACTCACGTCATCGGAACTAAAACTGCTGTTTCTCGAACTGTTTCAAGGCATTTCACGAAGGAATGTAATCTTTGGAAAATTAAGTCACACGTACACTGATGACGTAATAAGAGTAACATAGAGCAAAAAAGTGAAATGTGGCGAGAAGGTTCAGAACTAAGAAATGGAAATAAGTACGGTATTTAAAATAACTTAAGAAACGTAAAGTAAAATATATCTATAAAACACAACAACATCCTACTGTTACTTTTTTACGTGTCAAACGTAGTAACAGTTTATAAACCCATTAAGAAATTATGATTAGATAAATTAACCTTACTGCTATGATATGATTGTATATCCAAAGTATGTCATGCCTTAGGTTGTTGACCAGAAATCTGAGTTGAACTTTATACCAGCCACACAGACTGCTTCATTGTTGTCAATAGCCAGTGAACTATTTGTCTGATATGAACAAAATTAAGCTCCCTCTAGTGAGTGCTTTCACGTGTGCTGAGTTTGAGGATTATCAGAACAAGCGGTGTTTACAGTTCACTGTCGTCCCGCGTGCTTTAAATGTATCATCATGACAGTATCGACCATATATTTTATCACTTCAGCCTTTGGAAGGAAAGAAAAAAAAACTCAATAAAGGTTACTGGAAGTAACGATTAACTTTGACTATATATATATATGGACAAAGAAAATTGTTATCAAGAATTTTGTTAAATTATAACACTTCGATATCTTCTCAACGACACAGGCGCGAAAAACCATTTTTCAAATTACAAACACGTGCAATCAGTTCATGTAACCTTGTTTTTAAAGAGTTATCCAAAGATTTATGTCGAAGTGTGAAACTCATACGAGTTTGTTTAATGTAATAATAATAAGAAAATGAAAGATATATACAACATTGAACCCCTCCCCCTTTTATTTCCCTCAGCTTGGATATAATTTTAGCACGTGACGTTTTTTTCAGTGAAACTTACAAACGAGAATTATCTTATTTCAAAACGTTCATTTCATTGGTTTGCTTGACCAGTGGCTTCCAACTGACGAGCCCGGCATGGCCAGATGGTTAGGGCGCTCGACTCGCAATCTGTGGGTCGCGGGTTCAAATCCCTGTCCCAACAAACAAGCTCGCCCTTTCAGCCGTTATAAAGCGTTATAAAGCGATGGTCAATCCCACTATCCGTTGGTAAAATAGAAGCCCAAGAGTT